TAAATCAAAAGAAAAAATTAAAAATATGTCACATTAGTTGATAAGTTGAATATAAGTAAAGAAATATTAATATAAATATATATGTATGAAGGAGAAAAAAAAGGCAGATAGAAAGCAAATTAAGATGTAAAATAACAGGGAGAGTGAGAGAGATAGAAAAGAGGGAGGTAGAGATAGTGAAGAGAGACAGAGAAGGGAGAAGGAAAAATATGTATAGAAAAAAAATTATGTATAGAGAGACAGAAAGGTTAAGTAATAGAAAGAGAACAGTGAGAGATTGAGGGGGATGGTAGGTAGAGAGATGCAAATAATAGAAGGATAAGAGTCGAGAGAGAGAGAGAGAGAGACATGGTAAAAAAGAAGGAAAAAAAAAAACTAGTAGTTGTTAAAAAAAAATTTAAGGTACATTTTGACTACGGAAAGGGATATAAATTATGTTGAAAAATATCAGATGTATCTGGATATTTTTAGTCACATTGTAGGTAGTAAATTTGATCTAAAATATATGTATGTAATCAAATCCTTTACTACAACCTGTTAGCCTGTGTTATTGTTGTTGCCCCTGATTTAAGTTGACGTTACGTCCAACGTGGAACGTTGATAGTAGAGTGGATGGGCCAGCCTCCATTGGGCCGCCTTTTGGGCCATGTTTCAATATGTTGGCCGTGGGCAGCGTAATCTGATTTTAATGCCGAGCATCGGAGCGCGTCAGGCTGTAAAGTGCATAATAAAATTGTAGAAATTTAATTATGCGCAATTAATGCGCATTAAATGCAGCAGCAACAGGATATCCAGCGAGTGAGTCGCCAGCCAAATGCCAGCGACACAGATGGACGCCATTGATGCCAGCTAATTGGCAACAGAAAAACAATGAATAAAAAAAAAAAACACAAAAAAAAATTACATAGATAATTAATGTTGCTATCGACCGACTTTTGGCCATTGAACAATATCAAGTTTGAAGCAACACTTAAGCGATATCGCGCACAGCAATTAATTTTGAATCGACACTAAAGTTAAGTGAACATTTTAATTGTGTTTGTGGACAGCTTCAGAGACACAAATCATTTGCAACAATCGACGATGTTTCAAATTATTCACTGAGTAAAATATATTCCTATATATTCCATTCTTCTTATCTACTCATTCTCAAGAATTTATTATGCTCATTCGCGAAAGTGAAGCGAGCATATTAGTTTTGGGCAATGTCTGTCTTCGAATTGTAAAGTGTCAAGATATTCTCGATCCACTCACAGGGGGCGTGCCTAATAGGCAAATGCATTTTCCGTTATTTTAGAACTATATATTGGATATATATTCACGTTTACAACACAAGTTTCCAAAGCTATGGCGGATATATCAATGCCCATTGGGGCGTGGCAGCGTTTGGGCCGTGAATGAGTATACCGCAGTCGGTAATGCTCGAGTGTAATCTACTTATTTGTTAAATTGTAATATAATTACAATAATAATAGTATCAATTTCCCAGAGATTTCTATCGACTCTGTTTTACCATGAGCATGAAGTATAAATAGATGGATATTAAAGAGATATTTAATAAATCTAGGAGCTACCTGAATATGGATGCATAAAAGTCAACGGGAGTGGAAAATGGCAAATTGAAAATGGAAAATGGGAAATGCATAAAGTGCAGCTTATGAGGCAGGGCCAGAGTGCAGCACTATAAACATTTGCATTTGATTGCATTTGCCATGACCAAAAGAGAAGCGCAGAGGAAAAAACAGAGAAGAAGAAGTGCAGGAAAGTAATATAATAAAATGAAAAGTCCCAATCATAAATTCTATGTGTGCAATATAATAGGTAAAATCAAATAGAAAAAAATACACACACACACACACATACGCAAAACAGGGTATAAAAACAGGAAAGTTTTTTTATGACTCCAGTCACATATCATTGGCGTCAGCTGCGCGTAATTGCAGTCAGGTGCGACTTGTTTCTAACTAGACTGTGGCCCAGTACGACGGGAGGTCTGCTGTGTGGGAATACGTGGACAGAGTGCTCGCAGATGAGTTATGGAATATACTTAGAGCTATGGCACAGTGGGAAAATGATTATTCTTAATATATTTTATAAGCTAATATTTAGGGTAAACAAATATTTAT